GCAGGAACGGGGGAGATGCATGTGTCGCTGGGAAAAAAATGAATGGACAGGGAGAAGGATAAGGTCGGGCTGGCTCATCTCGTGTGGGACCCCCGCGAAGTGGGAGCGCGTGTGAGCGGGCGACCGGCCGAAGGTTCGGCCGGCGCACCGTCTCCAAACGTTTCCCTTATTACAATGTTGTTACTTATTCTTGTTGGTCGGAGGCCAAGAGCGAAAGCTAGCTCACGTGTCTCAAGGATGCACGTGACATGGTTGGTTTAGTGGTGCAGTGCAAACGGCACGAATGGGAAGTGAATTCGTCCCTGCTTAAATTAACACTTTCAGTAATAATCAGTTAAAACAATTAAACAATAGCACTACCAGTTGAAGTAAACAAGAAAACCAAAATCACACCCAGCATGGATTCATATGTGCGTGCGTTACATTAATCATCCGTTCGTTATTATCATGAACACCAAGCACAGGCTCAGAGCCGCTGGTTTCCCTCTTTTGATTTGTTCGCCAATTTGCGATTGATGTCTCTTGTTGAGGGCTCTAACTTTTTTCTTTCTAGTCAGTCCGCTAACATTACAATTTTCTTTTTGCAATTTATTAAGTTTATTCTTTCACTTGATTAGTAGTTTGTGATGACAATGTATTGAGAGGTATTAGATAAACAGTGGTGTGAATTACAGGCCAAAGTTCTGAAAGTTTTCTTAGAAGTTATATCATTTGGACCCAAGTTGTTCAATCAAAATATTGTGCATGTGTTCTTTATGTAAAACTACGTAGGTGTATATGTCTATCCAGGATTTCAGACTGAGCAAATTGGATTGGACTAAATTCAACCTTTTATTCTTAATTGGCTTTTTGCAAAAAAAAGACCTCAGGATTATATTATCACCAAACAGTGGTACAAATCACCCCCACAAAACAAGAAATAGCAACCAGGTCCCTAGGGAACCGGCCCACCCCTGCATCCATCGCGGGCTGCCGGCATGCCGTCGCTCCCGTGCAGCGACGTAACCTTGGATTCTGCAACTGGATTGGTCGCGGACGGGAAGTCAACAACCTCGGCCCGAGAGGACCAGCACGCTGGAAGGAGTGGAAGGCAGGCCTTCGCTACACAGCGCTGGTGACGACACACCTCCGAGATCCACTTGAACAGCCGATGAGATCCATCGGCACCAACCGCCACCATCATTTATTCTTTTTTTTTGCGGGAACACCACCATTTATTCTTAATTTAACTAGATTAATCACACATGTGAATACGATGCTGCCAAAGGAAGCGACTAGGATAAGATGTGCCCTAGGAAGCAGGCTGGTGGGTTTCGTGACTTTGAAGTGTTTAACCAAGCTCTCCTAGCTAAGCAGGTTTGGAGGATTCTGATGACCCCCACGTCCTTGTGTGCGAGAGTGTTGAAGGCGCGGTATTTCTAGGATACGGATATCATGGCTGCACCATGCCTACGTGGAGAAGTCTGATGCATGGAAGGGATCTTCTAGCTCAGGGTCTTATATGATGAATTGGTGATGGGTCAAGAATTAATGTGATGCATGATCACTGGATTCCAAGGGCTGGTAGTATGGTTCCACTGGGCAAATAGTCGTTTTGGAGGACGACTCTCTCGGGTCTCGGTATCCTCCTCGTTTGTTTTCATTTGGATTCCCATCATGCCTTTATTACTCCTTGTATTCTTGCTAATAAGTCACTATCCTGGTGCGTATAAGGTTGCCGTTTATCACGGCATGGTCCACGTCTGCTATGCAGCTGGTCGTACTTGATACCCCTTCAAACAAATCATGCACGAGTTGGTAGGTTTTGAGTCGGTACATGGGCCATTAACAGGCACGTTGACCTGGTTGAAATTAGCAGTCCCCTTAAAACATGTTTGGAGAACCAAAACATTATTATTGTAAGTAAACAGCAGTGACCAAATCATGCTAATTAATTATTTTTCATGTAGCATGGTATATGGTTAAAAGTCGAGGTAAATTTAGAAAATCAACGTAGGCAGCTAGATTCAAAGTTTAACCCGGTATCAAGCACTGGAGCCACACGTAGGGTACGACCGTACGAGGCACATATTCAGTACCTAGCTACTCCAGAATATAGTTAGTTCTAATTAGATCAGTTGTTTAGGGTTAAGAAGGGGATCACTTAACCATTGTCGCCACCTGTACGAGACCCGACACATATTCTCCATCGGATTCCTGCCATACCTTTAAACCAGTTGAGCACTGTTGTTGGGGAGGAAAGCTCGGGCCTGGCATACCATTAAATCATCTGAGCACTGTTCTGTTCTAACATGTACCTCGAGGCTCGCACAATTCTAGTAGGAGTATATCATTAAATCCGACGCGTTTTCCTCTGACTCAACACGATACCGTATACTCGCCGGCTCGATGTATAATTAAGCCTGGACTGTTTGTAAAGCCAGCCTGGACTGCGAAACTGGAAGCACGATCCTTATATGAGCGGGCGAGATAACGTCCTATGAGGCGCTCGTCCGCTGAAAATGCGCTCTGTCCACTGGGAGCCAACTACGTACCAAACACGGTGAAAGTGGCAGACCTACTAGTGGAGCAAGGGATGAGGGTAAGCTGACTGTGATTTTTACTCCTATCGATGCACAAGTTATAAGGCAGATTTTGATGGAAAATCCTGGTACAGAGGACTATAGAGCCTGGAATTTCACAAAGAGCGGCATTTTCACTGTCAGGTCAGCGTATTCATCCGGGTGTGAATATAAAGGAGTCCAAAAAGGCACTGGCCTCTGCATAAGATTCGGTTGCTGTCCACAAAAGCTGGTTGGAACTATGGTCGACTGACGCCCCGAATAAGGTTAAGATATATGGCTGGAGAATGTTAAAAAAAAAGGGCTGGCGGCGGGAGCCGAACTTCTACGGCGTCGGGTTAAACCCGGTGTCTTTGGTATTGCCTGTGGGAGGGAGGAGAATGTTGTCCACAGGATGTGGCGCTGCCCCCATTCAATTCAGTTACGGAGAGTGCTAAGTCAAGAGGTCGCGGCACCATTAGCACAACTTTCGAAACACATTCATACGATGGACTGCATGCGATCATGGGTGCTTGACTGGTTTGCGGCGGCGACCCATGAGGAGAAGCAGATTGTAATAAGGGCGTGGTATGAACTGTGGCTTGTGCGCAACAGTGCGAGGGAGAGCAAACGAATTGAGGATCCGGGTGCGATCGCCGAGAGAGTTATCCGCCTTGGCAAGGAG